GGTTTAGTAAAATCCCGCTTTAAGGTTTGCTCAGTAATTTGATTCCTATCAAGTCCCGATGCTTCATCAGATGAATCAGAAGAATATAATTCTGTGTTATTATCAACCGGTAGCCTTGATTCTATCAAGATATTAACAGTTTTTGTATCACATGCTAATTCCAAGTTCTGATCGTTACCATTGGTAACGGCACGATAAAGTGGTTCGCTCTGATAAATTAATATTGCCTTGCAATGGGGCTATACTTCTATCCAAAGGTAAGTCTTGGTCTCGAAGTTTCTTTTCTTTAATACACAGTCAGTCTTGATAAGTCGGCCTCTCGATAAGTCGGTTTTGGCTTAAGTCGGCCAAAATTTTTCGGCTGTTTTTAATAAGTCGTTAAGTCGGCCAACGGCTCCAGCTGTCTTAGTTGGATGTGTTTCGATAAGTAGGTCTCACGTGACAGTTTGTAAGGCATAATAATTGGTGGACCACACCCATTGTCCAATAGAATTACTTATACATTGGCTACACAAATATACTATAATAGATGCATTAAGATCATACGATTAAAGTTATACGATTAAAGCACTAGACATGTCATTAGTGTTAGATCATACGATTAAAGCATAAACATATCATTAGAATTCATACAATCAAAATATTAACATGTCATTAGAATCATGCGATTAAAGCGCTAGTCATGTCATTAGATCATACGATTAAAGCAATAACAATAAACATGTCTTAGAATCATACAATCAAAACACTAAGATGTAGACGTTATAGATTTGTGTATTAAGAATTATCTATAAATAAAGGTAATTGAGATCCCTCTGTCTTCATTGACAAGTTGATTCTCTAAGACAAGCTAGTTTGCAATGTAAGTCTTTAATCACGTGATTTTTGATAAGTCGGCCATTTGAGGCGGGCTACTGTTGGCCGACTTATCGAGACTGACTGTGTACTATAATAATAAGTATTATTTTACAGTAAGAGTTATTCTGCTATTTCTACTAAAGCCTTTGACACAAAAAAGTGTAGAAGTTTATCGAACATCAGTTGTTTATGATAAACTGAAAAAAAAACACAGCAGAAAACAAACATTATAACAGCTACGGGGTAAGGGGACAAAAGCATGCACAGTCGTAATTTATTTAATTCCATAAATTTTTTATAAAATAAAAAAAAACTAACTTTTGGACCACTCACTTCATCAGTTGTCTAAATAAAATATTAATGTTTATTTATTATTATAATAATATAACTTGTCATGATGAGCGGAACATTAGTAAAAAACTTGGCGCATAAATAAGTTTCGCTAAGGAGCTTATTACTCATAATCACGGTAAAAGAACTAGCTCGATGCAAGAACATAACACTTGCAAGATAAGATACTGTGGCGCAACAGTTCCAACAGGTTTTCGCAACTTACTATTATATAAATCATGAAAACATGATCAGTAAAAGAAGAGTGAAATTCCATCCGCGAAAAATATACCATAACTTGTTATTATCATGCCCAACCATATTTAAGCTGTGGTTGCTGCAAATGAAGGAAAAACTGAATATTGCCATTTACTTTAAGTAATTTTAGGTTTAAGAAAAATTTTAATGTCTTAAAAATAGGGCTGTGCAATACTTTTCCATATAATATGCGCCAAAGCAGAAAATTGAGTTTTTACTAATTTATTGCTCTGCTCATCGTGACAAGTTATATTATTATAATAATAAATAAACATTAATATTTTATTTAGACAACTGATGAAGTGAGTGGTCCAAAAGTTAGTTTTTTTTTATTTCATAAAAAATTTATGGAATTAAATAAATTACGGCTGTACAATACTTTTGTCCCCCCTCCTGTACATTGGATGCGACAACAATTATTATTCTCTATTTCAATCCTTTAATAATGTATAAAAAACCTGGGACAATAAACAAAATAGACTTGTCATGTATTTGTTCGGTTACGATCCTTTCTGCAATATTTATATTAGCATCTGGTGATATAGCGTAATACGAATGTCTAGACGCATAAAGTCCGTTATTGCATATAAAACCTTTGATATATTTAGTTGTTTTTAATATTCTTCAATTTTGGGTTTGGTACTGGAACTATTTTTGTTGTAAAAGAAAAGAATTAATCACAACTGTTATGCATCAATTACTCTATGTCTTTAATCTAGATATTACATGCAATTCATTTATAGAGATTTCAGTAATAACGTATTGTAAAAATATGGGTCCGTATTATTATCTCATCGACAATCATTTCACCGACAGTACAATTAACTACTAAAAAAGGATAACTTCGAAATAATGTTGGTAAACATTTGTCGGTGAAATGATTGTCGATGAAATAATTGCCTCCCGTAAAATATATATTCCACCTGTAATAAAAGTCCTCATGACCAAAATATTGCTGCAAAATAACCTTAATTGTTGACAGAATAAAAATTATAATAGACATTGGCTTTACAAATAGATTCAAACCTTTTTTATCAAGCGTCCAACTTGTATAAAGGCTTTGCGATTACATTAACATTAATAATTTGCCTACTTTTTCGTGGAGTTAAAGGCGTCTTTATAATTATCATTCTAGCAGACGTATAATATAACTCAGACTGTCTTCATTATTATCCTGGAATACAATAGCTTCGCTTACATACGAATTGCACTGATGTGAATATTGTACATACAACCGACAGTATATCTGGCTGGAATAAATTTGGCCCTACGTGCAGCAATCTGTTTGTAATGTTGCACAGTCGATGTTCGATCCAACCGATTGTTTGCATCAAAGACCAATATAAAGTTAATTGTGGCAATAAGTTTTCAATGTAGAACAGTTACACTGCTGGTAGAAATTTGACAAGAAAAACTTCACATTCTGGGATCAAGAACAGCTTAGACGTACGCAAGATGACTACTGACGGTATAATCTACTGCCATAAACTCAATGTAGAAGATTACCTTCTTTCTTTGCAACAGGCTTTAAGGTATTATTACAAACATTTCAGTCGAACTTACCAACTCTTTGGAGACGCCTTGCGCAAAGACTGAGTGTTATTAGTCAATGAACAATCCAAGGGCAAGTAAGTTGCTCCCAGTTTGCAGTCACGCATACGTAAATATAACATCATCATAGTAGATGTCTATCTGGAAATTCTGTGATTCAAGTTTCGACAAAAACCTTTATTCCAGGCTCGATACTGTCGGCGAAACAGCTATTTGTGGTATAGTTGATGATGTAACTTTATTGATGTGCCCAACCTGAGTTTCGGTTTTCCGATCAATTGGATCATCGGTATTACAATCACTACAGCTACTTAATAAAAGCATGTAACAACTAATTGCGAGCTGGTAACCGTTTGATTTTCTCAAAAACAGTTAAGCGGAAGATCTTACTATAATATTTTTTATAATAGTGATAGGAACAACAAATACAGTAAGAAAAAACCAATTGTAAGCACGATAATTAATTGAACGGTTTTGTGTAGAACGGATATGCATAGTTACATCATTGTTACTCCATAAACGTTTGGTATCAGAAATCGAATGGCTATGTTTCACAAGACGATCATAGTCTTGCAGATGAAAAATAATAATTCAACTACAGCCTATGCCATAATAACAAACACAAGCTTTATTGTAATTAGAGATAGGTACTTGTGTTCCTAGGGTAGTCATAATGAATGTAATCCTCATATGTTGTAATACTTTGACAACTTCCGATGCGTTTCATGAGCACGCTGCGATATCACGTGAACATAAGGAAGCAATGCATTAACAAAATGTTTCATCTATTGAACATTATCGACAGCGAAGACCGAAATTAACTATTGTGTACGCAGTGAATTCCTCGAATAGAGAACTGTGTTTCTGATTACCAGTGTTACTGATTACTAGTGTTACTGATTATAAGGAATCAAGTCCGTGAGTTTAGAGTTTCATGTCATCAAGCAGCTACTCTGAAATTTTGGACAGCTCGGAACCCTGCAATTGTTGAACGTCTTAAACAACAATGCACAAGATCGAGATCTATTTGGGGAATAATTGTTATGATTGTTATAATCATTGTTGGAATTGTTGCCAGACCTAAACCTGATCGAGTTTTTGTGAGATGGCGATCGCTGATATAATTGTGCATACCGATACAAATGTTGTCTATGATAATGTCTCTAACAACAATTATTGTCGTTAAAACATTAACTAAATTATTCACACTTAAATTTTTCGGGGCGTTCATTTTTTAAGACATTGGTACAACCCAGTTAAACGTCTGGTCTTTATGAGAAAACTTCACATTGCTATGCAAGTGGAATGTCATTGATGTAGTATCAATATGAGACATGTGTGTGCGCAATATAAACCACACACTCCGCACACTTGAAACTTGTTATTCTGCTTTTTCTACGGTCATTAACACTGAGTAATGCTCCATTGACATGCTTCTCTCACAATTATTTAATAACCGACATAACCAATAGCGTCTCCTCGTATTAAATGTACTTTACAACACCACTGACAATCAACTGCCCGTAACAGCAAATATGCAGTGCTCTCGTCACACTGCATCATAAGGTTCATTATGAGCGTTTTTTTCACACTGGGCTGAGCCTTTTTTTCTCTTCAATCTTTTACCATTACGAACTTTATTGATAATTTATTTCAAAGAAAGAGATATCTGGTTTATTAGAAACTTGACAATTGAAGGGATTACCCTGCAAAATCGTTCACTAAAAAGAAATAGCGTAGAAATACTGTAGATAAGAATATCGAGAGAAACAATTACAACAACCAAATAAACAATGAAAAAGTTTGGGCAATTCGCAAAGAAAATATTTCACCGACGCAAGAAATCAAAGTAAGTTCAATACTACAAGCAAGCAACAATGTATGAGCGCCTATGACATCATCAACATAATCAACATTATCAATATGGAGCATAATTCATTGTATTAATAATAGGAATAATGTCAATATCAATAATCAATATCAGTATCAATATCAATAATCGTATGTCTCAGCCTCGATATCAATCAATAGTATCAACATTAATATCCATGTTGTTCTATTTTATTATTCTCAATCGCTTTTTAACTGAATACTCATTCTCATAATTTCGCCAAAACCAATAGAGTCATCAGTAATGTAGAAACGGAAGACCCGATAGACATAGACCCTATAACTGATCAACCTCACAGACCGCAAACACCAGAAACACAGCGTTCTCGATCACCTCCTCTCTCTCAGCGATCACGACGACCATCGACACACAGCACAAAATCACAATTAGGGAAACTGATATACTCTGATCTGCCTCAAATACCATCAACTTCAATATATCAAGGTGGGGGAATTGAAAGGGAAGAATGGCGACAGAAGGTTAAAGGTACCGTTGTTACAGGAGTAGAGGATGAACGCAAGGCGGAACAAACAGGAACGCCTGCAACGTCGATGGCATCGTTAAGAGAACAAAAAACACCAAGCACCACCAGTACTCCCATAAGCACACCACAGCGAACACCACAGCGAACACCACTACTCGACACCGTCGTACATAATGATAACGTTCCCGAATTTTCTCTCGAAGGGAAGCAAACGAAGGAATTTGAGATGGAATCAGAAGAAGAATCACCCGTTGATTCTGAAATGATATCCCCCTTAAGGTCACCATCCCAATATCCACCTTCATATCCATTAACCAAAACATCTTCTCATCGTTCGCAGATATCAATCTCGTCACAACACATGCTGAGGAGCACTTCACACCAGTCGCATCTCTCATACTCTTCACCCTCGCCCACACCATCAGCCTCTCCGGTTTCTCCTCACAGTATTCCGAACTGCCCACATTGTAATGCTCCTCAAACACTTAATTGGTGTAAAAATTGCGAGGCAAAGAGATTTGAAGCCGACTTTCCTAATTGGACAAGTGGGAATCAGGCGATAGATAAGGTCATTCAGGAAAGCCAGTTGGCTGCCCGGAATCCTGTTAGTTACTTGGAGTGGATTGACTATGGGCAATTTGAATATTCCCAACTGATCGACGCAGGTGGATTTGGAAAGGTCTGGAAAGCTTTATGGCGTGCTGGACCAAAAGATGAATGGGATTGGGAGACGAATGAATGGGTTAGAGGCGGAATAGTACCGATAGCTTTGAAGGAGTTAAATGAGTCAAGCAATATTAGTATTGAATATTTGGATGAGGTAAGTAGCAATAATGAGAAGGGTTGAAGTGAGGAGGAAGGGGGAAGGGGGAAGGGGGAAGGGTTGAGGTGAGGGGAAAGGTTGAGGTGAGGGGGAAAGGTTGAGGTGAGGAAAGGACAGAGGTGCATCGAAAAGGGTGAAGCGAGAGAGGGTGAAAGTTGATCATGTAAATTATGGCATGTCTATTACATGTCGACATTGTATATGTTATACCTCAGTTTGGACCTGTCTCAGTTCTGGACTGGGTTCTAGACTGAGACAACTGAGTTCTGACCGAGTTTCTAAACCGAGATGGTTCCGAACTGAGGTATAACATATATACGTTATTGCCATTTTCATAGTTACTGACATTCATCCGTCTTATTCCTCTCACCTTAGATAACTGCGCCCATGGCTTTCAATTCAATTTACTCAAATCTTGCTCGATACTACGGCATAACACAAGATCCCACAACAAAGAACTACATGTTGGTCCTTGATTTCTGTCCTCACGGCAGCCTAACTTCGTATTTAGCGGAAAACAAAGATAGCGTAACGTGGATTAAAAAGTTGGAAATTGTCCATAGTATTGCTGCAGGGTTGTGGGAGATACACTCTAATGGTTTTCTGCACAAAAACCTTCACGGAGGGAATGTTCTGATTACTCTAACTACTCCGGCATTGGCGGATCTTGGCATCTGTCATCCCGCTGGGGACCGAGTCAATGGTGAAAATCTCTATGGGGTATTGCCATATGTAGCGCCAGAAGTCATTCAGGGGCAACCACATAACACTACATCAGATATTTTCAGTGTGGGGATTCTCATGTGGCAAGTCAGTTCATGCAGGCTCCCGTACACTCATCTGGCACATGACGATAGTCTTGCCTCTGATATATGCGATGGACTAAGGCCAAAGATCGTCGAGGGTACACCGTCATCTTATCGTGAACTCATGGAGAGATGTTGGAATCCTAATCCTAAATTAAGACCTAGCGCCAAGGAGCTCTATGTAGCGCTCGGTTTGTTGTTACACCAAGCATTGTTTATTAATGACGGAGAAGTCTGTAAGGAGTTTACCGAGGCCGAAGAGTTTAGAACGAAATATTGGATAGAGAAAGAAAAGACGAGAGATATTAAAGAGCATCCTCGAGCTGTTTATAAAAGTACATTGCTGGATTATCCTGGATTACGCCATCCCATGTATTAATAAGTATCCGTTTGATACGGGTCGAGAGAATAGATATATATGCTACAGTAACAAGGCATATGGCAAACTCCGAATGGCGTATCCTTAGGAATATAAGGATTAGCTAAATGATCAGCTGATATACATCAGTTATCGCATCTTCTCTCCGATGGATAGCACTAACTCTTTTCGGGAAAGATAGAATGTGAGAAGACAAACAGGAACAATATCAGAAGGTCAAGCTTCTCTTTGTCACCATAACAATATCTGTTATGATACGATTGTAGGATAGATTATAAATTTGAAACATAACAAAGAAGAATCAGTGTATTACATATATGGTATATAATAGATTTGATAATCTTATGTAAGATAGGAGTTTATTACACAAACAGGAGATAATAAAGAACAAGACTTAAACAAGGAGTTTAGAAAGGATATTGTTATCTCTTGGTTTAAATAATAGAAACGATAGTTCTCCGATTGGTAGTACGTTACATTACCTTGTCCTAATATGGAAGAAAGAACTTTTTAATTCTTGTTTTCTTGTTTGACATGCTGTTTATATTAATTAATAATAAGCAGATCCTATTATCCTGGGGTGCGACAAACAATTCCTATTTAGAAATAGATGTCCCTAAGGTAGCGATGATAAAAAGGAAAAATGGTACGTGAATTTTGTATTAAGCGTTTAAGCTTGAACGGCGTCAATATAACGAGAAAACTTTACACTTGAAGAAAAACAGCAACTGGTGGATAAATGGCTCCAACTCCACACATATGTATTGACCCATTTCCGTGTGCTCAACGCGTATGTCAAAACTCTAAAATTCCGATTACATTTTTGATGATCATTGCATGGTATAAAGTGATAGTGATAATTGCTGACCGATTAATGATGTTGCTGTTTATTATACATAAAACTCAATTAATAGGAATATGCTCTTGATCCTAAGACACCTTGTGGGGATCGGAATCGCATTAGCGCCAATCTGAACTAGATGTAAGTCTTTATTGTAGAATACTTATCAATCATTCATAAAATAAAGGTTGCCAACATAAAATGTTCATTCGTTAGTGTTATAATTTGCGTACTATAAATTGTTTATATAACAAATAAGTGAAACCTGAGATAACACTAATTACAATTTGTGTCTATTCGGAATTTGTCTTCCAAACAGCTATCTTGTTCCCACAACTCTCGTTTGCCCCTTAATTTTATCTTACGCACTTTGGGAGACTGTTTCTGTCAATACCGGTAACTATAGTTTTACATTAATTAATAAGGTTGAGAATTCACTTACTATATTTTTTTTCTTCGCATTGAAAGAACAAATGTGTTTTTGGCGCTGTCATAAATAATTAATAACGTGTATTACCTAAAAAATTTTCTCGAATTGTCACACATCACATATAAAATTTAATACTAATATTAACTTTAAACTTTACTTTTTCAGATGACTACAAAATAATGTCGTAAGTAATTTAAAGTACATGCTTTAAGAAAACTATACTAAATACTATTCTAACCAAAAATATTCTTATAGCTTAGTGAACATAACATGTAATATACGAATTCACAACCCCAACCAATATTCCTTATAATATGAGATTCTAAGAAAGTGCCTATTGGCAATACATAGTTTTTGCCTACAATTAGGTAGGCAGATATTTGCTAACGCATGTTTAATTCAATATGTTTTATACGAAGTCAAGATTTATGCTATATTAAATTAGTTCTTAAATTGGGAGATTTAAGACAGAGAAGAAAAATTGTATCATAACTTGTCGTAATCACTTATTTAAAAGAAATATTGTACTTTTTATCAAGGTCTCAGATGTCGCGTGATTTAACGAAGTGAAGAACGAAGCGTTTCGGTTTAAAAGTGTTTACGAATTACGTTGTTCGGTGGAATATCGAAGGAAAATTGTTCGTTGACAGACAGACACATTGCCGTTAATTGTTGCTGCTGCTGCTGCTATTGCTGCTGTTGTTGTTGCTGCTGCTGCTATTGCTGCTGTTGTTGCTGCTGCTGCTATTGCTGCTATTGCTGCTGTTGTTGCTGCTGCTGCTATTGCTGCTGTTGTTGCTGCTGCTGTTGCTATTGCTGCTGTTGTTGCTGCTGCTGCTGCTATTGCTGTTGTTGTTGTTGTTGTTGCTGCTGCTGTTGCTATTGCTGCTGTTGTTGCTGCTGCTGCTGCTGCTATTGCTGTTGTTGTTGTTGTTGTTGCTGCTGTTGCTGCTATGCTGCTGCTGTTGCTGCTGTGCTAATGGTAGCAGTACTTGCTGTTGCTGCTGTACTAATGGTAGCAGTACTTGCTGTTGCTGCTGTACTAATGGTAGCAGTACTTGCTGTTGCTGCTGTGCTAATGGTAGCAGTACTTGCTGTTGCTGCTGTGCTAATGGTAGCAGTACTTGCTGTTGCTGCTGTTGCGGTTGTTGTCGCCGCCGTCGTCCTTGCCTACCAACTCGGCCTCCGACATTTCTTTCGTAACTAGTTAAAGTTTTCGGTTAGTTTATTTGTTGCTCTCTCTTTCCGTTACGCTTCTCTATTATTACAACACTCACCAGTCTCGGTATTGCTTGATATGTCTTCTAATACCTGTAGCGGAACGCATGTGCTCTTGGACCGCACCCCACTGCGCGTTTAATATATGGACACTCGCCACCAAAAGTTCTTTTTCCTGGACATAAACAGCATACTGTTAGCATAACAAAGTTGGTTTATACGCGAAGATAGTAACAACAGAGCATACATACTCTTGACATTATGGGAGGCATCTTGTTATCTGACAGGTCAAAAGGTCACGGGCACCATATATATATATCTTGGACAATCGATGATGCAAATGATTGTCACTGACGTATTTCTGATACTCCCTTATTTGTCGAATAGACACATTTGCTGAAGTAATACATCAAATTCTATGGGTTCTATCTATTATTAGTGCAAAGCATGATTTGTACCAGAAAACAAAAATGTGAAATGGCCACATCAAGCCCTATCAAGAAGAACTACTTCCAATATATACTAGAAAGCTGACAATATGCAGACTAAAGAAAACGGTTTTGCACGTGTGGTTATTGTATTACATTATCGGCTTCGAGCGATCGCCCCGTGTGAACAATCACCAACCAGTAGTACGGTACGGATTGGTTATCATTATGTTATATCACAATAAATACGTCATACTATCGTTCGATTTTTATAAAACTTATCACCGGAAACAAACGTTGATAACGTAGTTACCTTGATTGGGGTACCGATCCATAACCCCATCATTCTACCTATTGTCGTAAAGTTGCAATTTGTTATACCGTTAATTTACGCCCACTAAACATGAAAGCACAATAACCAATTAATGCACAATAACCAATTAATGCAAGATAGACCGTTTAATTTGCTTTTCTAAAAATAGAATTGATAGAATGATTTTAAACTGTTGGTTACGTTATAATATATTAGCCCCCGCTTTTCTCTCTCCCGCAGCAAGCATTTTTACTTTTTTGTTTACCTAATTTATCTCTCTTAATGCCCCTTGTTAATAATTATCTATCAATTAGATAAGCTCTGGGAAATTCGCACGGAAATGAGGGGACGCTATCAACGTAAATATTATCAGATAATTGATTATCAGCGCTCAACGTCACTTACCCCAAAAGACAATATTGAAAATTTTCTACATTGTTCAACACCTCAAGTCTGATAAGGACCAGACAGGTCCCATGCAAACCTTATTCCTCCTTCGAGCACTGTATTTTGGCGTAACAATGCAATCAATGTTATGTCATTCTTTTGTTACAGCGAGTTTATCTGGACATTCCTCTAATTGAACAACGAGTAGTTCTTAATTTAGTAACACTACACGGGGTAAACTTAGACGTTGTCACACGAGCACAAAAATGGAAATGCGCAGAAAATTATCAGCATACGGTCCATCGTCAAAAATCATCGGTTAGATCGAAAGATATTGGTACGCAATTACGCGAATAGCGATCTATCGACATAACCTAAGCTCATATCCTTGTTATGTAGTAATGGTAGTGACGGGATTATTGACCGGTCAAAATACCAAATCGAAGATCGCCCTGAATTAAATTTAAGAATTAATTTCACGATTATTAAATTGTTGGATACGAGTAGAAGATACATGATATAGGGGATGGTTAAGCGCGCGAATGATTAACTTAATAATTAAATAGCAATCTTAATTGTACAGCTACCAAAGTAAGGACGGTAGTATTGGCCAACGTAATACCTTGGAAGTCTTCACAAACACGATTGCTATTAGAACCCACTTTTCGAATTATAGTCTCTACTCATTATTTGCACTACATTTGATTTTTGAAAAGTAAAAGCAAGCGTAACTCAACTATAAAAATCTCAAATTTTACCAAGTTTTTTTATTGCTAATAAGTAGTTATAGTTGATTGGACAAACCTGTCTCATAGTCTATAATATCACGCACGGATAACTAGTGTGCTATACAGTTTAAGGTAACGTTTGTGGTATAAAGCGCAACTTAGGTCTGGGCTATTATTATAGTGTACTGTAATAATTAATTTGTTGTAATTACAAGCTGCCGTATTGGCTCGATGAGGTTAGGCAAAATTATCTATAATATCCTCACATGACGTTTACGCAAGCTTCCCTAATAGATGGCCAGTCTTGTAATTCTAAAAAAGAAAAAAGAAGACTGACAACTCAATAGCGTGCTTGGCCATTATCTTGTTGAAACCTTCGCCTTTATTGGAAGACGCCGCTCTATCTTTCTGTATAACTTAGCACAACTGAAGTATTATAAACAGAGTTCTTGCCTTTAGCACAAACCCCACAGCCAAAGTTCTGGGAAATATCTAATTGATCCGGTGTCCTGTACCATATTCATGTTGCATTCGGAAGTTGGAGAAAAAAATAAAAATTTTTATTCGCTATTAAGCGATTTATGACTCATTAAAACTCGCTTACCTTTAAAAGGTCACACTCGTATCGTGCGCAGGCGGACAAGCTGCCTACTCCTCGTGCACGGCCATTATTTACTGCCTTTTTAGTCGCATTTGACTACAGCCTAATAGCAAAAATAAACCCTTTTCACACCATTGCCTTACTTATGTAAACATCTCCATTTTTTGGTTTTCGGATATTAAATTGATGGTTCAAATAAGATAAAGTAAACAAACACCCACTATTTCAAATGTTCATTGACTTCAAGAGGCTAAACGTATATTCAAAATAAACTCCAGGGTTCAATTATTGTTGTCTCAAGCGGGCAGATTCACACATGAATGTCATGGTATCTTCTATAATCATATGATTATGATTTAAATATACATTACTTCGCTCCCATAATCTAGAAGTATGAACTTATAATACACGAGCCGGAAATTTCTACTCAAAGCTCAAGTTAGAAACTGGTAAACCGTTTGATGTCCGCAGCCCTTTGAGTTGCAAACAGTGACATGTTTTAGTAAAATTTCGGATAGTTAGGCCAAAACAAAGTAAGCAAATTATCAACTTATTATATACGATTGAACTAAAACATACAATTCAGATAACTGATAATACCCGAACGTGTTTTTATGTGATAGGTATAGCAAAGACCTGATAGTCTCTGTAGTAAAAGTTTATCATAGATTTAAACTTGGCGTAAACGCCACTCGTCTGATCTTGCAGACAAAATATAAGATTTAGACGTTTTCACAGAATGTCCGCCCAAACGCTCTTATAGCATGAATTGATTATAAGCCGTCTGAGATCGAATTATCGGTACCAAAGACTGCCTCGTTACAATTCTTCGTTTCCATACTGATTGATATTCGTGCTGTAAAGTTTGAACAAATGGTTAGCGCCTGATGTAACCATGCATCTGAGCTCGACGGATTGGCTCATAGACATCTACTCACATAGTATTTCCAGACCAAATCCACTTTAGCGGACAAGTGAGCCAGTTGATACCACTAGGCCGTCTGATATTAATATCTAGCGGTTTACGGTAAAGTGTTACAATGTTACATGCAACAGACGGAAAAACCGATCACCCAGAGCGGGACTTTCCATTCATCGGACACTGGTAATACCAAAACAGACAACGCAATTTGTCTCTTGTTTTATTCGATACCCGAAATTTGATTGCAATCTCGTTCATCATCACTTCCACAAAGCCCGCAGGTTCATATGCCTATAACATGCGAGCCATCTATGTGAGAAAAAAAGACGACCAATTAGCAATGGCAAGTGCTCAGGACACAACTCGTACCCGGGAATTATGGCTGCAGTCTATAAACCTTGACGGTCACCACCGAAATACTAGAAAACAATTACCAAGTTCAGACGTCCGTGCTAGTTACACGCAGTTTGGGAATGTTAAGATTCAAAATGTCTCTGAAATACCTTTGTGGGGTGTTTTCATCTCGCTCGTTGGTTTGCGACACTGTGAATGGTAGGACACCTATAGAGTTCGTATGATACCCGAAATACGCTAAATTGTTATCTGAGTTACCAAGGATGCATCTAAAACCGAAGCAACGGATAAATTACTTATCACCGTTAGTACTTCTAGCAAACGAAGAAAGAATTCATTTCTTCGTTGCGTCGTCTATTTCAGGCGTCAGAATTCTCATACCTGTTTGCTACGAGTTCTCCCAACTGGAAGTCTTTCCGGAGATACAGCCGAGTCGTTTACAATGATAAGGAGGATAATGTTACACCGTCGATCGATCGATAGCGTACTTTTTTCTATCGCTATTACCAGGCGCCCACTATGGAAGTTCATTCGTCTCGGAGACATTTGTTTAAACCTCCGTTATAATGGAGATCGCCTCACATTGTGGAATCGAGTAGACCCAAATCTAGCAAAAGATCCTTTCAAATTCAAACGAAAAAGCCCCCCCCTCTCTGCATGCGTTTGTGGGTCGGGCATAATTGGACGGTCTATTAAGTCGGCCACATGATGAGGCAAGTATAGGTGATTCCTAAAAAGTTAAATTTCAAAGCAGCCCGTAACACGATACGTTTTTCTTACATTATTTGTTGCTTGTTAATGTTAATCATGGAGATCAGTTCTCATTATCACTTTAGTGTAAAAGATAAGTAAGAATATAATGTGTAACTTAATATTAAACGCGTAGATAATAAAATGTAACATGTACAGTAATGTCCAATATCAAACCCCCCCCCGAATATTGACTTGAAAAAAGGGGGCAAGTGAGGGAAATACCAATAGAGTAAAAATGTGTATATGTTAATACCAACCGTGTATAATTACGGGAAAGGGTCGTTTTTTCTGTTGGGAGAACAAACACAACGATCCACGGTATATAAAGGATGACTCCTCGCTCTATCGGGGTTAATTATTTCTACTCAAACTTGTTTTTGCAATGTCTGATTTTAACAGAGAGTTGCCCCCTGCCGTTCCTACCCGCGACTCTACTTTTCCTAATACTATTGATGATCTTGGCGATACAGAACGACCCACACAAACCAGAAGAAAGTGGCGAATCGAAGTGTGTTCCTACTGTGTATTGTCTGACACTTTACATGTATATTGCTTGTTAACAATAAAGTTTTTATTGACGTTAGGAGGATGAGTTACTTCGTACCCTCCATGCCAAGCATGGAAATCGCTGGAAGATTATCGCAACTAAAATTCCAGGGAGAAGTGGTAAAGCGTGTCACGACAGGTGAGATTAGTTTATTATGATAACTCCAACATATTGTAAATTTGCCAAAGCTGACTATATATAATTATCGCTTTATATAGATGGACAAATCATTTACAACCGGGTGGTAACTACATAATCTTATCCTTATCAGATTTATAATAAGTAACGTTTATATATATTCAGCAAGTAATAATCAAATTACTCTTTCTAATATTTGACAGTCGACAAAGATCGTCGCTGGACACCACTGGAACGCAGACAGCTAAGAGATCTGCAGAATAGTCTTGGAAACAATTGGGTAAAAATCGCTAGACAGCTCGGTCGAACTGCTATGCAAGTTAAAAACGAGTTTCGTCGTCTTCAAAATTTAAACAAAATGTCAATTAAGTATATGATAGAATGAACTCCTTTACGAAACTGTAATAGAATATTAATCTTACCCTTATATTCATTTACCTGTCTTCTTTTAACACCTTCACCATAATATCATAATAATTTTGGGTGTACAACATAGAATAACCCGGACTTAATGTTGAAAGTAGATTTCGATAATATTAATTTGTTTTTAACTACCAAACTGCTTTCAAGTAACGTTGAAATTGATGACATGAATAAAAAATTTTAAAAAAAAAAAACCTTCTTCTCTTGTTTTAGAAAATTATTCTTCTTATTTAATATAAACAATAATGCGTTTAGCATAGCCTCAAAAAATGCATATTTTAGGTAGTTAGTTAATGGTTTGTTCACACCTTTTACCCCCTAATCAATCAGAACTTATGTACGCCTCAGATCATAAAATATTGCAAGAAAAAAACAGCTTTTAACTAAACTTTGTCAGCAAGTTTCAAATGTAAAGGTTTCGAATACACAAGTTTCTGTTCAATTTAGCGTTGTGTCAAAAAAATTATATTTTGCTGATGCGTTTGGCTTATAGTTAAGTTTATTATATTGTCTAATTGGTACAAGAGCGACTGTCACGAATGTAATAAACAGTCGAATTGCAAAATTAATACAAACGTAATAAGTAAATTCGTACAAATTTCTGCGGATGGTGTAACTTGGTGATTCTAATCACCGATTACTAAAAATATAGACGAGGCTTGGTTTCGAACAAGTATATAACGACCTGAAACATTGACAGGAGGTTGGTGCACAATAGCTTCGAGCTAAAGAACTGGTTATTTGAGCCAACAAACCGTTTTATCGACATTGCGAGTTTAATTGACGATAGATTTCCACATTCACTCATTTGCATATATAGCATACACATTTAGTGATAGAATTTACTCATAAATACTTTTCAAAGTACGCCTGTAAATAGACCCATAAATAATACTCATAAATTACACTCAGAATACACTCATAAGTGCACTATTATTACCATCAATTTACTGCACCAGCCTTGATGAGTCTCTCACCTTCATATGACCCGTTACAACAATCTCGTACTTCTGATATCAGTCCAAATTCATCTTCCTATCATCTTACTCCTCTTCCTCCGTCGGCGCCAAGAATACCTTCCCCATCCAATTTGTTCGTTTATTCGCCCACTAATGTCAGATCAGATGCCCGACACGATCAAGCAAGCGAAGAAGAGTGGCCTGGCGTGAGTAAAAACGCAAAGCGATGGAAAAGCATAAAATTGAAATGTTCCCAATTTTGGTATTGTTTGCTAGCATGCGTTTATGCCTGTATCTTTATTGTAAGCTGTCTAATACTAGATAAACTTCTGGGATTTGTAAGTACTTTAAATTTAGCGCACAGAATGATTGATTTAAAGTATATGTGCATGAAATCATTGTTTTTTATTTATTTTACATTGTAGCTTGACACTGTCCCATTATTACCGAGTATGACGACATTCGTTGTCGGATTTGCATTGGAAACTTTACATCGAATAATTGAGACGGCAGTAATTGAAGATCGAACTAATAGCCAGCTAACATACATAGGAGGCCTAGTCATGCTTTTCGGTAAGAATCATGACATGAGAAAATACAACACAACCAAATTAAATAAGAAAAAATTTTGTTTGAACATAACATAGGCAAGAAAAACGCATACATGGCATTTAATGCAGAAGCATTAGACACACGATTGAATTTTTGGCTCCAAGTATTTAATGACTTGGTACTTTTTATTTTTGCCGGTTGTCTTATATCGTCAGCATATTTACTTCCAAAACCTGTATTTGCTGAACTGAAGACATACTACGTTCTACAAGTCGGACTTTTTACAATCCATTTTCTACGTATGATTTTTACGTATCTATGTATCCCAATTTTTTTGTGCTGCTGTTGTTGTTGCAATGGCGGGAAATGCTGTTTTCAAGAGTGTGACGATTGGGATGATTTCGGTGGTTGCAATGGTTGTTGTGGAAGCAGCACTAGTAATAATGGAGGTTATGCCAATTGTAATTTTTGCGAATGTGGGGTTTGCTGCAATGAATGCAATTGCGGTAATTGCTGCGAGTGTGGGGGTAGTTGTGGTAATTGTGGTAATTGTGGTAATTGTGGTAATTGCGATGGTTTCTGTGAGTGTGCATGTTCTCTCCTAACATTGTTCATGTGCTGCTTTGCACTGTAATGTATCGCAATTGCAATAAACTTGAAATAAAGAAATTAGAAAACTATGTATTCGACATGTAGTCCAATATTAAATGTCAGACAACCGGAATGCCCAGCACGTATGTATTTCGTTTTACTATAAATCGTAAAGCACGTCAAACGTTTAGCATTCTTTTCTTTCTTCTAGCATTGCATTTTATCTAAAACTGCTTTTCTTGTTGCTACAAACCACTATATCAATTATCACGGAAAAAGGAAAACCCATGGCCAAACTTATCCTCTTAATGAGGGGTGGTTTCTGACAAATACATTACATGCGTATATTATTAATATTGCGTTATAAACTGGCAACGTTTTTAATTTAGGGTATATACTCATTACAATTAACTTTGCGTTGGAAGGATTTATGCAAGGTAATTGTCAATCCAAGAATGCGACAGGAAGAAAGCTGGTCTATTTGCCGCAGCATTGTACAAAGGGAAGAATGATTATATTATTCCTTATTATTATGTATATTTCGACAATGCATCATACGTAATCATACATCTATGCAGGGTAATAAGTATATTTGAAAAGTTTCACAAAACAATGAATTCCTTGGTTGAGTACTTACTCAATATGTACCTGCCTTGTGCGGCTTTTAATTATGTGCACAGCAGATATCTGCAAACTCGGGAGAGAAAAAAAAAGAACAATATCTCGTTTGTGCGATGAGAGTAATTTGTACGACCATGGATGCATGCTACCGATCACTACCAAAAATTACTTGATCAACGATTAGGTGTCAACAATATGACTTCATGGGCTTCCTAAATAGACCCTCATTTTGAATGGAGATATGACGATCCAAAGTGACAGGTGCAAATTCCGACCCATGATAATAACAATAATAAAGTTACCCCGGCAACACATTTAGGAAGAAAAAATTTTTTGTGTTGAACCCCGCATTAGTAAGGTTCTGCAATTGCTTGTAATACATGACGTCGTCGACACATTGAAAGGTCAACATCAACGTTAATTAGCGCATAATAAGAACGAATTGTAGATGTTTATTTATTAAACTATGGCGTCATCAACCACACTATAATCACGCCATTCATTGTCGCTAACCAAATTAACACAAGATTCGCATTACAGCGAGTAATTGGTGAATACAAGCTTTAAACCTTCCGTCTCAATTGAAAATTATCCAAATAATGTATTTATTATTATTGCATGTACGTGTTAAATGTTTGACAAATCTCTTCTTTTTTTTTGCATGGTTCCGTGCTTGGGCTTCATGACAATATTTGTATTGACCAATTATAATTATTGATACTCCTCTTTTCTTGCAAGTCATCGTTCTCGTTGTAAATATTAGTACTAACTATTGATTATCGCTGTTAGTTTATGGTTGTTGCTGTCAATTTAGTCTACATTAATGCATGCGTCTTACAAGGTGAATTGGGACAACGTACCTCGTTGTTATTAAGCAAAGCATATTTATACATCCTCCATACAGTCACGCCTTTGAAAGTCCTCCTATACAGTTACAGTTATGGTTTATTATATCGAGAGTGACTGTGCACTTATCATTGAATAAGTGAGCAATGAGATGTTGGTTCTTATTAGGCAATTTCTGTAGTTTTCTTTGCAAATGCTTTGTTCATCACGTGACAAAACATATAGAGTCTATTTACTATCAAATTTGTGATAATGATAGCAATAGGGATGTGACTGTATGGAAGAAAATTTATCATTAAAATAATCCGTTCCGCAAAAAAACTGACTTGCTGATTATAAATTCTGGAACGTGAAAGTGATGAACGTAACTTGATAAATGTAACAAGTGCGTTTATTGTTCATGTAATAAAAAGCTTTTACGTCAATAACTTTAAGTGGTCTTCTGTTTTTTAAAAATAATTATCTGATAACGGAAATTATTCGATTTTTGACTTATTTCTGTTCGCAATTTTCTAAATTCCAATCTTTATTTATTAAATTTCGGTACCTTTTATTTAAACTTTATGAATATATATTCTAGCACCACCGTGCCTATTAGCGTTCTAGAGAACACAAGACTCTGAATAGATGATAATGTTATTGTTATATCATACATACTGTAAATACGATACCACATGCTTTAAGTGATGCAAACGGGCTGATGCGAGCATTATTTCCGCGATCAATATCAAATAATTGTCTGGCCAGCGCATAAAACCTTTGTCTAGACAAATATTCCCAACTTCGAGTTAGTTATATTTCGAATGATGAGTATTCATACTTTATGAGCGCATTATGCTCTACAACTTTGCTTGTCCCACAGGGTCTACAATAACAAATGCCACAATCAGTAGTTCCCAACGACAGCGATGGTGCAAATAACTTTTGGGCAAGTAATCTGGAAAACAAAAACTATCGGCTAGAACGCTTATAAAAACCATAGATTGTTACTAATAAATTTTAAATTAACTTATTATAATTGGTCTGATGGATTGTTTATTATTGGTTAAAACTGGACAAACGTACGGTAACATTGCAATTGTATTACTGCTTATAGCACTTTGCCTTTATGAAATACCAGGGTTTTTCTTCTGGCCTTGCTTGCCGCAGGTGGACAAAAGAGGTCTGTCAACGGCTCATAATCAACTGGTAGCTAAGCTCACCGGACTGCTGTCAGTAACGGCACTCTTTTTGCTAACGCAGAAAGATAGCTTCTCCGAGCACGCAAGTGATACCAGCAATACGCTCAGTGTGTTATATGCTTCTTGGCCCTATTTATATTCATCAACGTGGCAATTAATTCATCGACTCAACCATTATTTGACAAGCCAAGTATTGTTGTTCTAAATGATAAGCCCAGTTGGCACCCGTATCGTAATTGATAAAAGCAATGCGCTTAGCCGTAGGTGGACCAAAGAGGTGTGTTATATGCTTCTTGCCATTATTCATCAACGTGGCAGAGAATCGTTGTTATAATACATTATTTTAATAATGCAGGAAGATAGTTTATTCAATTGTTCGTTTGAGCAAACAATCACAACCGTCCCGGAAAACAAATATCTTAAAATACGACCTAAGGTTAAGAGACGTAAATGGACAAATCAAGTATGTTGTCTGCTTATTATGCCATTTAGATTATTATTTTGTCATTAACAATAATGTCAGCTTATAGTTGTTGTACCTCAGTTGGGGACCTGTCTCAGTTCTGGACTGAGACGACTGGGTTCTGGACTGAGTGTCTGGGTTCTGGACTGAGACAACTGAGTCCTGGACTGAGTGACTGGGTTCCAAACTGAGACAGGTCCCAAACTCAGACACAACATACTAACTTTGTTATCTAATCTCTTTTTCGTGCAGATGGAAAATCATAAATGGTTAGCATACAAAAGATATTTTATATCTGTCTATTTATGGATGTACTAAACGCACGTAACTTACGCTAATTATTTTGTAGCCAATTGGGATCAAAAGGAACTCAAAAAGTTGGAAGAGAATATCGAAAAATATGGAGAGGATTGGAAACAAGTCGTCAAAGGTCTACCTGGTAAGACGTGTCAACAGGTCAGGGCAGAAAAACGAAAAATTGAGTAAGTAAAACAATAGATATACAGTGCATGCACGCCAGACTTAAGAATACAAACTAATAATTATTTATTTTTATTGCATACGAAAAGTGAAAGAAAAAAAATAAGGAAAAAAATGGCAATAAAATATGTCATTACTCATAATTAGCATTTTGTAAAAGCATCAGAACCAATCAATCACGTCATGTAACCGTTGGTATATCACTCAGCATGGCTTCAATAGTCAATTGGAGTCAAGAGAAGATCAAAAAGTTGAAAAAAACATTGAAAGACATGGAAACAAGTCGTCAAAGACCTACCTGGTAAGACGTATCAATAGGCCAGGGAAAAATCGACAAGTACAAACCATTGTATAACTTAATAGACAAACTAATAATTATTTATTTACCGCACACGAAAGTGAAGGAAAAAGAATAAAGGATAAAATTATCTTAATATGGGCATGATGTTAGCACCCTAGTACAGGTTCATCCTAGAGAGAGCAACAGGGATGATGCAATGCAAATCCTATTCAAGTTAGTTGTCTTTGCTATGACGTAAACAGGATCCTGTGACCAAATTTAGCGGTTTGATCCGAAGACCAAGACTGATGGGTTTTATTATATAGACATAGAGCCCTCCTATCTATAAAGAGTCGCATATAAAGAGTAAATTTGATCATCTGAAATCCTGGACAACCCGAATAACCGAACCACTCTTGAAAAACCCCTCCTTATCATTAAAAACAGATTAATTTCCTTGGAAAAAGATCTGAATCGATTAGTCATCGCCACTCCAAGTCCCTCAACAGAAGTTCCAAGGAAACCAGCAAGTGACCAAAAAACCATGACCTCTATGAAGTAGATGACTGCCTGTTGGAACGGGAGCCGAATATGAACAGTCAGAGGGTCAGTTGGCGAAAAGGGAAGAGGGAAAGAAAAATAGTCACCGAAGTCAATCAACCAGAAAACAGATAGATACTGGTTAATAATTCTACATTACCGGATGCTTGATTCGTTTAAGATTATGCGGGTATCCGATGTCGCTGATATGCGAAAATCGGTGATGTTGACGGGGTTTATTCTGTTTGAATTGATCATAAGCAGCAGAACTTAACAACTCATCGATGTCGTCCGATGCTTGGATCACCCAGGAGCATGTAGAAAATGTCAGGACCATGGACAGTACAAATAACGTGATCCTTCATCATCCAAAGCCGCATTTTTGATTTACCGATTGACGGGGTGCATAATCAATCTGCGTTTAGAAATGTTGGACAAAATCACAATTGCGTAAAACGCAGTCGCTACTGTAAATAATTTAATTAATGCTAACGCGATAGTTGGCGTGCTCAAAAGTCATAGAAAAAATCAAGGCTTTATCATTCCCAGTGCTAGTACTCCTATGAAATACGATCTATAATTATATTCGCCTTGTCCGAGATAAGTTTAAAGATGTAAAAATAAAAATAAATGTTGTGAAATTACTTTACTATAAACCAATCATGATATTATAATTGAAAAGTAAAATTGCATTCTCTGTGATAGAGTTAAAACTCATCTGGAATACTTAAGTCATGAGTGTCAGAGTACATTGTGTCTTAACCACCAAATGACACAATGAGAAGTAAAACAACAGGAATGAAATAATATGTTACCAGTTATGAAAGATGTTGCTCACAAAATAGAAAAGTTGTATAAGCCTGCTGGCTACCAGTTACCAGGAAATTAGGAATTCAAAACAAAGCTCATTTTTTATACTCGGGTTCCACCCAAATATAAAGAATTTTATGGCAATAAATACATGGGCGATACTTATGAACCAGCCCTCTTGAACAAGCAAGAAAACCTTCCAACCTAATTAAGATAATGTTATTGTGGAAAGGAGCAAAGTAATTGCTGAGTTACATAGTAAAACATCACCTAGATATACAGTTATTGATATATTACCTGACAATTTGCATAATCTAAACTTGATCTCAGATGGGAGGTGTTTATAGAAAATCATGAGAAAAGTTAAATTGTCATAATCTTTACAATTAAAAAAAGGAAAATAGATTGATAAATGAAACAGAAAAACTAGCAAATGGTGGATAACGAGTTAGAGAAAGGTATCAAGACATCACATTGGCTATGATGTTATTTCCTAAATGGAAAGAAGAATGAAAATGACGGGCAAATGGAAGACTTAGAAGAGAAGGACAACCAAGTTAGAAGAGGAATTAGCAGAAGTTAAGCTTCCTCTCTTTGATTAACTCCATTGACCGCAGGAATAACCTTAATGATTTGCATGCTGGGGCTAAGCAGAAGAGAAAGAAAAATTAGAACGTCATCCTAAATGCACATAATAATAACGTTAAATGTTCACTTTGTCTGGTTTTTGTTGCAACATGTACTATTAGGAGATGCCCCGACTCATCTTTCGTCGTATACCGACCTGGAATTGTGTGACAGACTGCATGTAAATGGAAATTATCTGGATCCGAATTGACGTATAATCGAGTTGACATGCCTGCTCTATGTCATGTTACGAGTGACTTACTTACAATGCGATCAATGCGTTACAGACAGAATTAAATATATGCATACTATCGGGAATTTACCTGCCAGGTCACACAACCTGCCAAGTCGTGTACGGCTCAGATACCCACTCCATAAAATAATCGGGAATTTACCTGCCATGTCGCACAACCTGCCAGGTCGTGCAAGCTCAAATATCATCCTTTCATTGGGGCTTCTCCTCCATAAATAGAAATATTATGGACTGTACGACGTTTCGGGTTGTGCGACCTGGCAGGTAAATTCCTGATAATCTCCATAAATATTATGGGCTGTACGACGTGTCGGGTTGTGCGACATAGCATGATATCAATATTGACATGTACCACCTGCTTATGTAACTTGTGTATCCTTGCTCATGTATTACTGTTAAAAATAGCCATTGTTTGTGTAATACATATCGATATGTAAAGTTGAGCTATTTAATGTTCAAATAACACTGCATTGTATATCTGACTTTCCATAATATTACAGTGTGACGTACGACATGATTTGTTAAACTCGGAATGACATTCTCTCATTATAGTTTCAACGTTTGATAGTCCAATGGATCTATAGCCATGACTGTTACGACACTTACTATTATTGGAAGGTGATGGTCTACCGTTTTTTCTAATTCCTCATACTAGAGTAAAATACCAAATTAGGTTTAAAAGTCGTACTCATATAACCAATTTGCTTTAGGTAACGCAAGAACAATATTGTAATTGTGCGTCGTATGTTTGACCGATTGTTCAATAGATTGTTCGTGCAATCTTGTCCCATACGAGTTACTGTTTTTGGAGCTTATATATTCACCTAATGAATTGTTCCATGACTGAAGAATAGATTATGTCTAGTACTTTTATTGCTAATTGCAACGGTCGTGAGCAAATTCGAAACCGAAACAAGCAATGCGCATTTCTCTTTCGCATATATCTCGGTACACTTTGCAGTTTTGTAAAAAGTCAAGCTGAACGCATCGTAGTTCAGTGGCGACACAAACTTCTAGAAAGTCAACATACTATGGGTGTAAGTTAATCTAATTGTTGGCACATTGTGGCAGCGAATTTTACCAAACAATCATTTTAAGGATACGAATTATGTAGCAAGATTGATTTTGTATCAAACAATATTTCAATGTTGCTGACTATAGTAAGGGAAATTGGTGTTCTGTTTTAGATTGCCCAATAACCCTTTAACTTATGAACCAATAATATTAGACCACGTAAAATGCTCTAGTGTGCAATTAGTAGAATCTTTGACATGGATAGAAGTAACATTAATACATGGTCTGCATACGATTGATAGAGCCTTATTCATCGAATTAGAGAATAGTATATGATATTTACTTAATGTGTTAAAATGCTTGTCGCACCAATCACGATAAACGCTGACACAATGTCGTGTGATCAAAAAAAATTTTGCAATGTGTGATGTCTAATTTTACAAAGTTATAAAATTGTAATATAACAAACCCCACCAATTGCAACAGACTATCCTTTTAACAGCATTACATGTTATTTGAAATAATTTATTTCGCGCCGTCAACGAGTGAGGATTCCTTCTTTAGCGCACAGACCTTATTTTATTGGTGTCATTATGATATTTTATGCAGACAAACCGCCAGGTCAATGTGATACGAATAATTATTACGCATAGCATACTCATGCCCATAACTATACCACGATCAGCTGGTGTAATCACGTCAGTCTCATTCAATATCTGCCTTTCATAGCTCGCATGACTGCATCGGAACACAACGGAGGGAAAGCTAGGTAAAATGACATCAGCGAAGAAACCAATAGACACTCGATCAGATATTGTAATTTTCATAAAACAAGAATAGACAGGTTTTCTACCCTAGTACCTAAACATATACAGTATGTCATTAGGATGCGAATTACTAATGAGCTGTAGAGCGGAAATTAAGCGTAAAGGTCTAGATTCTATAAAAGCACTTACATTTTATCCATCCGTCATTCTCGTTCAAGTTATTTGCTTCAATTATAGTCTGAAAACTTGATCATCACTTAATCTTTTCTTAATGAAGCCTCTCAATAAAATCAACAAGACACCATACGGTAAACCCAGGACTAGAAAAAGATGGAATAGCGATGTATGCGCGTGTTTTCTATATTTCACAGCACTTTGAGCATGGTATAATGTATCGGCTAAAACCTGAAATCGCCATCGATCGCATTTAGGAAGATAATCTGCTTCGTAATGGATACGCTCTTCACGGACCTCGATGGTCCCTCATCGCAGCAAGCATTCCTGGGAGAGACGATAAAGCCTGCTTTGATAGGCAAGTTGCTCATTGTTTCAGCATTTTATTGTAAAGTGTCTATGGCTAATTTTTTTGTTCCATTAGATGGACGCAGCATCTAAGGCCTGGAGGTAAATCGATATAACTCGTATTCTAGCTCACTATACATTACTTATAATAATTCACCGTGTCATTCTTAGTCGAAAAAGTGCCATGGTCTCAATTGGAAATTGACGAACTAATACTGGGTTATTCCATTAACGGACCAGACTGGATTAAGATTATCGAAAAGTTGCCCGGGAGGTCCAGCTTACAAGCTAGGAATATGCTTTCCAGCATAAAAAAAAGCAATAAACGCATCAAGGATCGGATGTCCGTCAAGCGATTATTGAATGGTAAGCATGGTAGAATTCTTATTCGATTCACTGTTTGCAGTAAATGATTCAAAGGGTTTTACGACAACAGTAAACTCATCTCGTGCAAAATCTTTTTTTTTTGTCTTATTCAGCAACCTAGTCCGATAATACCATCATCAATACTTAAGTTATTGTTTAGTAATATTTATTCCATATGCCATTCCGGTAAATAATATATGATTTAATTTACTTTTTCTTAATCGATTATACGTTTAATACAAATACGAGAGTAATATAGAATTTATGCAGCTTTAACGTTAATGTAATAAAATTAAGATATATGCTTCCAAAAAGTATTATCGTTATGATCGACCACTTTGTAAAAGTCGATCAGGTTTACATATTTGATGATCGTTATATTTGATACTCCTTAATCACATGGAGTTGCATGGGCAAGGACATAAATAAATGACGGAAAAGCCGGATCTGGCGCATATCCCCGCCCCGTAGGGGAAGCCTCCACGCTAAACTTTTTTACCGATCATTCATTTATAGTAAAAGCTTTCGAAGGAAAAAGCCTTCGGTCACTATTTAGGTTAATAGATTTGCGTAAAGTCTATTGTTGATGCGACCCAAATTTTAATGCATTTCTGGGTGTACACAAACGGTAATGGTATTAGTATACAGTTATGCATAATGCATTTTTGTGCAACTTACATATTCATTCGTATATAATAACTGCCAGGATCTCGTTTGTTCACATCTAATGTCAAATTGACAAGCCAAGTATTGTTGTTCTAAATGATAAGCCCAGGAGGCACCCGTATCGCAATTGATAAAAGCAATGCGCTCAGCCGCAGGTGGACCAAAGAGGTGTGTTATATGCTTCTTGCCATTATTCATCAACGTGGCAGTTAATTCACCGAATCGTTATTATAAACTATTATTTTTAATAATGCAGGAAGATAGTTTATTCAATTGTTCGTTTGAGCAAACAAGCACAACCGTCCCGGAAAACAAATATTTTAAAATACGACCTAAGGTTAAGAGACGTAAATGGACAAATCAAGTATGTTGTCTGCTTATTATGCCATTTAGATCATTATTTTGTCATTAACAATAATGTCAGCTTAGTGACCAGTGCTTTTATTCTATTAGGAAGACGAATTGCTTCGTCTTTGTTATGCTCTTCATAGGGAAGAATGGTTGGTTATTGCAGAACATATGCAAGAAAGAAGCCCAAGATCCTGTCGCGAAAGGTAAGCTTTCGTCCTCTTGGTTACCAGGGTTCGATTTTTACTAAAATCCGTATACTAACTTTGTTATCAATCTCTTTTTCGTGCAGATGGAAAATCATAAATGGTTAGCACACAAAAGATATCTTATATCTGTCTATTTATGGATGTACTAAACGCACGTAACTTACGCTAATTATTTTGTAGCCAATTGGAATCAAAAGGAAATCAAAAAGTTGGAAGAGAATATCGAAAAATATGGAGAGGATTGGAAACAAGTTGTCAAAGGTCTACCTGGTAAGACATGTCAACAGGTCAGGGCAGAAAAACGAAAAATTGAGTAAGTAAAACAATAGATATACAGTGTATGCACGCCAGACTTAAGAATACAAGCTAATAATTATTTATTTTTATTGCATACGAAAAGTGAAAGAAAAAGAATAAAGAAAAAAATGGCAATAAAATATGTCATTACTCATAATTAGCATTTTGTAAAACCAATCACGCAAACGTTGGTTTATCGCTTCAATGTTAATTGGTAGATATTGCGAAACGCAGTTATTTGTATATATAGAAGAAGAAAAAAGTATTTGTATCTGAAACGTGTTTATGTTTGATAATAAAATTTGTTAAAACTTCATAACATAACCGGTCAATAAACCTGATTTATGCAATCATTTAGTTGGTATTTACACGGTCCACGTTTGCTGAATAGAAAATGGTAATAATATCTACTATCGATTAAAGCCGCCGTTCACAGAAAATAATGTGTTAAAATTGTCGTAAAAAGAAATTCAATATGGGTCAATTGTTGCGAAAAAATTTTCACGTAAGCATAGTAAAATCGATCTGATGGCAGTCATATAATGTATAAAGCATTTGTATATTAATAATAATACCATTCAAATTCTAGACCATATATAGAACTGACTAAACTTTTCTTGTCAAGAATTTCTTTCCGGATATCTTTCAATCGATTACTTCCCAACATCGAGTCAACGCAATACAATCTTATTCCTTTCAAAATTTTGATCTATAGTCAGTTTGGTTCAATCGCCGCCTTGTCGCCATTAGAATGAAATATTTTGGGTATTTGCGTCACAACGGATAAGTTGTACACATCTGCAAGAAACGTTCGTACTGTTGCGTGAGAAAAGAATTCCCCAAACAAGGTGAAACTCATCAAATAATATGCGCATGACGAATAAATGACATTGCTAATGCATTGACAAAACGATAAGTGGGGCGTGCATCATGCAACACAAACAAACCTAAAATGGTTATTGATCTGCACCAATAAAAACCAATATATTGCTGTATTGAAACGGTAAGCCTCAATACATGTAAATGTGTGCCTAATAAAGACCTCGAAACCTCAATACATGTAAATGTAGTGCCTGCTTGTATTAGTTAATAAATAGTAAAGAGAGAACCCATTTTGCCGATAATCCATGTATTTAAGAAACTGTAGCCATGCATTACTTGACTCAACATATACAGTGGACTCTCCCTAATTAATATATCCGTAATTAGCACCTTTAGGCTTGCAAATGAAAACTATCCCTTAAACTGTATTATTCGAATTCACCAACAAGATCGCTTTATACCCGATGCTACTAAGTAAACACCCAAACATATATGGTTCTCCAGAAACCTCGCTATTATATTGCCATGCAAAATTACGAGGCCATGAGTCGGTCAATATCGTCTTGTTTGTCCTGCAGATCGCTTATCGATCCTTAACCCTAAGTCTCGATCATCGCCGATGGACCAAACGTTAACATTGTAAACTGTTAGTCAATATTTATGGTAGATATTCTTATTAAAAAGTGGTTTATTCCACCAACTCTGAAGTCATATAAGACTCGCAATACTTAGTTACTTTAGGGAATCAGTACTATGAAGAAACGCTCTCAGGGATACTTGCAGAATATGAATGTAAACCAGCGCAAGAAATAAAAGCTTTCAAAACAGTAAAAGTTCAAGAAAAGGGGAGAAAGATGTACTGTAAGTGCCTGTCTTCAATGGCCATTACTCTTCAATGGTTCATCTGTTGACTGAGATCTTTAACTCTTTAGATTTACAATAAATATGGTCCGGTGCAAAAAGATAGATACCTCAGATTATTGCGAATAAGGTTATCGGAAACATTTTGATATAAGTTTTATTAAAAAGTTACTCACTGGATTCCATGTATCTTCAGAAAAGGATTTGCCATCAGTTTCCTCATCAGATAAATATACGTTTTCTCTATATTCTTTTGCGTTGTTAAGTGCTCTCTTCCATAATCCAATAATAACTTTTAGAATTTACAATATCATTGTTTCCCTGTAAATTTGATAAGTGACTACGAATATGTTGTTTGGGGAATCGCACCCGCGAAAAATATACCATAACTTGTTATTATTATGCCTCACCAAATTCAAGCTGTGATGGCTGCAATGAGAAAATACCGAATATTGGCATTTACTTTGAGTAAGTAAAAAAAAAATTTTTAAGTTTGGAAATAAACTGTGCGATACTTTCTATATCCACCATTGGGGTTTTTTACTAATTTATTATTCTGCTCATCATGACACGTTATATCAAATAAACATTAATATTTCATTCAGACAACTGATGAAGTAAGTAACCTGTTACGGCAAGCTGATCTGATGAATCAGATAAGTAAGTCACATGGTAAAATCTTCCTCCGCAGTCAAACAACCCCA